AGATATTAACGACAGCTGAACGCGAGCAGAGGAAGCCGAGTACACAGGATTAAACAAGCAAATGATGAGGAATATTAAAGCTGACAATTAGAAATACGTGGAAAAGCTAGCAACGAGAGCGGAAAACGCCTCAAGAGAACAAAATATGAAACAACTATATGACACTACGGGAAAACATTCAAGGGAACTATACTAAACCAGAGAGACCGGTCAAGGACAAAGAAGTCAAGCCAATCACTGTGATTCAAGAATAGAGAAACAGATGAGTGGAATACTTCGAGGAGCTCTTGAGCAGACCAACTCCATTGAATCCACCAGGTATCGAAGCAGCAGCTGAAGCACTGAAGTTAGACAAAGAGGTAACTCCTTGTTCAGATAGATTTGGGAGGAAGAACAAGTGCCAACAGACTGGAAAGAAAGGAGATCTGAGTAAATGTGAAAACTACAGAAGCATCACACCTCTATCGGTACCAGGAATAATTTTCAACAGTGTCGCTGAACTAGATGAAGGATTCAGTAGACGCCCAACTTCCAGAGACCAACGGACCGTATTCCATAAGGATCGGTTGTGCACAGACCAAATCACGACATCACGGACCACTGCTGAATAATCAACTGAATGGAACTCGTCACTATACACCAACTTCCTTGATCATGAAAAAGCATTCGACAGTGTGGATAGGACAACATTATGGAAAATTCTTCGACACTATGGAGTACCTGAAAAAATCGTCAACATCATCGGGAATTCGTACGACGGGCTACACTACAAAGTCGTGCATGGAGGACAACTGACAGATGCATTCTAAGTGAGGACTGCAGTCAGACAAGGCTGCTTACTCTGCTCCTTTCTCTTTCTTCTTGTGGTTGACTGCATTTTGAAGACCTCCACATCTGAGGGGACGCACGGGATAAAATAGACAGCTTGGATGCAACCAGATGATCTGGACTTCGTAGATGACCTAGCTTTTCTATCCTATACACACCAACAAACACAGGTAAAGACAGTCAGCGTAGCAGCAGCCTCTACAGCAGTAGGTCCCAACATACGTAAGCAATTAAGCAAGATTTCTTAATATAACACAATAAGCATCAACCCAATCACACTTGATGGAAACTTATATGGGTAGCATCATAGAATAACAAGGAGGACGTGATGCATATGGAAGGGCACAAATTAGCAAAGCAAAGATAGCACTCCTGTAATTGAAGAACATCTCGGACTCGAAACAACTGTCAACCAACATCAAAGTTAGAACGTAAAGACAGTTTTATTCTACTGAACTTAAACGTGGAGAACTACTAAAAAATATAATATTGAATAAAGCCATTAATAATAATGATTAATAATAATCCTCAAAAAAGTACATGTATTTATAAACAGTTTTCTACGCAAGATACTCCACATCCACTGGACAGATACGATCAGCAAAAACCTAATGTGGTAGAGATCAAACTAACTCCTAGGTGAAGAGAGAATTAAGAAAAGACGATGATCTAGCTTTTCTATCCTATACACACCAACAAACACAGGTAAAGACAGTCAGCGTGGCAGTACACAACAAGCATCAACCCAGTCACACTTGATGGAGAAGCTCTGGAAGAGGTGGAAACTTTCATGAACTTGATAAACAAAATTTATGATCAGGTAGGATCTGTTGCAGACTTAAAGGCGAGGATTAGCAAAGTAAGGATAACATTCCTATGGTTGGAGGACATACAGAACTCAAAACAACTGCCAACCAATATCGAAGTAAGAATCTTAAATACGAACGTCAAGATTGTCCTGCTCTACGGAGCTGAGACTTAAGGAACTATCACAACCATCATCAAAAAGGCACAGGTATTCGTAGACAATTGTGTATGTGACATATTGAGTGTCCATTGGCCGGTTACCGTCAGCAACAGCCTAGTGTGTCAGGGTTAGACGAACTTTCAATCTAGGAGGAAATTAAGTAAAGGGTCTGGATGTGAATAGGATACACATTGGAGAAACCATCAGGCTGCATCACGAAGCAAATACTAACTTGAAATGCTGAAGAGAAGCGGAAAAGATGAAGGCCAAAGAACACACTGAGTCGGGAATTTCCCAGGAAAAGGTGTGATGGAGTGTGCTGGCGTGCGTCCTATGCTCTTCTACGTAGCCCATGAAAATAAGTCCCGCCATAGTCTGTGGAAAACACTTAACTGAACGATGTTGGTAGAGTTTCAGGTTTGTAACATCATTTCTCGCCAACATCGGCAGAATTTCTCATACTAAAAGTGGTGCAAACCCATCAATGTTGTCATTAAATTTCACACTCCTAGCATATAGCATAATGAACAAAAGAATAGTTTTACTCTTACTGCTGTAACGGCTGAAGAATGTAACGAGGGTTGTGAAATTCTAGGTGTAAATGTTGTATTATATTACAGCAAATTCAAAGGCTTTTCGGGGCGGGGGTTGAGTCCACAAGGTCAGACGAGTGATAGGTTGGAGACATTTACCGATGCGCGATTGACGGAAAAGTGGTTCATCATTGAAAACGAAACCCCTCTGATGTTTCAACCAACATTGAGTCAACGAGAGAAAGCGTCTGTCATTCCCGAGATGAATTTGGGACCCACAGTAATGCGAAAATCCCAGCCATCAACGTGGTCACACAATTGCTTGCACATTCCAATACTTGTTGTTAAGAATTCAAACCAACTCCATTTCTCGTTCAAAATAGCAGTTCAACGTAAACCACGTTTGCCTAGACGAACAGTGACCGATAAATGTGCATGAACTTATGATCGAACCATATTGGGTTTACCGGATTTACTGAACACTGACGAAATTAAGGAGTTCGCACAAGGCGGCATTTACTGACGACGGAAGGAACGATCTACAGAGTCGCATCCAAAAATATCACCTTAGAAATTTTCACGTCCCGCATCAAAAGCTTTGACGTACAGATGCTTCTTAGATGAGACTCTAGATTGTTGTGCTTTCCCTGGAACGCAGAATCGAGAAAGAACCGTTAACTTCGTATGACCTAATCAATAGAAATAACCATCGAGACGTGGTCCTTATATATTTAGGTTTTTGATTGCTACATCATGTAGTCTTAAAATCAAAAACAGAGCAGGCTTATATATAATAGAATCAAATGGACAATTTCTTGTGCACTTTCCAACTAGAGAGGACATTGAGGGCAGGAAAAATAGGCTGAAAGTCGTTCAGGCCAAAAAGTGGCATGAATTCATACTTAGTTGAACTTGAAGATGCCGCAGGTATTCAGCGATTTCGCCCGCAATACCTTCATGATCGACAGATCCCAAAACACATGAAAGTCAGGATGAATGAGTTCAGACATAGTTGCCGATATATTGAAAGGGGTTCGATTTAAGCTGGCTGGTAGTTGCAATGTATGCACAGTGATATAACGAGCCAATCAGAAGTAGTCAAACGAAGTCACTTGTAAGTGCAAACCAGCTGATTTAGTTACGTGCGCTTATTGTAGTAAACGATTAGTGTGACACGATTGAGAACCGTTCGCAGCTGTGAAAATACGTTTACTCTTTACCTTTCTACCTTTAGATCACTAACCTTGACTGTTCATCGCAATAAACATCTTCGCAGACCATTGATATGACCACTCGGAAATGATAGCGGCAACATAAAAATTGATATTTTAGGTTTATGTGAGCGAGATGTAGAGAGTCCTAAAAAGTATGACAAACTTAAAGCGATTACCGTTGAGTGAGAAATTGGGATCATTGGCAAACACCATTGTTTGTTTTTCACACTTTTCAATGGAGTTAACATATTTTTTCTCATCAGGCATATTTAAGATTTGCATACATGATATTCATGTTTTCAACATGACTGAACGGAACTGCACTCAAGTTAATACCGAGGACATCTGAATCATAAGTATGAAGACTATTCATCACTGTATTTATAGATTCTAATGATTTATTTGCTAATGACAGTAATTGTTAATCCGGTTCCGATCAATATTCGTCCGTCAATACTAGTCAATAAACTACTAAGTGAAATCCGGACATTTATATGGTCTCAACAGCTTATTTTGCGTACCAAATAGTATTCTGTGTACCGAGGACTCTCTCAGCATACCAGGAGTACCTCTCGCGAACTCTGCATCATGCTGTCTCTTTGCATCACCAGTTAGTATATTTCAAGTCAGTATTAATCTGTTTCCCAGTGACGTCAATCAAATAATTTATCCTAAAATTTTAAACCGACTATTCGGGAACACTAGCGCTTGTAATTATAATTTTGCGTCACAAGATAACGTCTTCCTGCCTATACGGCACGACTGTTTTATACAATGTTTCACGAAATTGGTAGTTCTCGGACAGAAAATTGGTTGGTATTCTACGTGTTTACTAAGATTTTTCTTCTATTGAAATGCTTCACATTCTTGTTTAGCAATTTGTAAGGGTATGAAACTAGTCAATCTGGTTCCTATCTACAAAAAAATGAAACTTCTACACAATGAAATGAAATCATTAGTTTTAAATAAGAAAGTATTTAGAAGTACTGAAAACTCGAGACTATGGATTCTCGAATAAATAAACAATGTTCCAGAAGTGTGAACGTGACTATTTAACTTGCTCTAAGATAAGCAACCAGGTTTCTTGGAGTTTAGGTTGAGCGAAAATTAATCACTGAAAAAACTGGGACTTGATATGCTTCTAAGTAGGATCACTTTTAAAAAGTAGCACAAAGGAAGGTGTCTCTGTTTTCCACTGAATCTGTCACTTTTATTTCGTACGATATGATGGATGTGTAAGTTTTGACAAATAAGACAAGGGACCTTTAGTAAGATTTCGTTTGAATTCTGAATACATCCACTCTTAGTTCAAACAATATTTATCCACAATGTGTACTTCACAAGTATCTCAGACTAGGTCGGTAGAGATTAATTTTTACAACTGCACAACCTGGTTTTGAGCTAGTCTATAATGCTGACATAGTTAGCTAATTGGTTATACCAGTAAGAAATAATAATTTGATTTAAAACAGATCTTAAGGGAAATTAAAAGCTTGAGTTAGACTTTTATATATACTATTGTGTGTAAAAAGTAAATAAATCATAAAAAATATAAACACATTATTAGATGACAACATATTTTTGGAGTATATGACGAGCCATTGATGGATTCCCATTAGTTCGATACAAAAGAGCTAAATTGAAAGCAGCTTCTTTATACAGATTAGTAAGCTAATAAAATAAACCAAAAGTGAAAGAATAATAAATGCAGTCAGAAGATATGTATGACAAGAGTTTTTAAACTAAAACAATATACGAATATAGGTTAAGTTAATCAACCTCCGCAATAATAACAATAGTGTATATTCAGAGAAAAGAAAGCAGGACTCACAGACTTCTCTTCAGGATTGTTTCCAATAGGCTCCATATCAAGAACTTTTTCATAATAGTGAATAGCCATATGAGTGATTGCTGAATTTAAAAAAAGTGCCTATTTAGTACAGTACCGATGATAGTTAACTACATGTCAACCATAAAATATACCACAGAAAGACGAGGTAGGAAAACTAATATTGTTTTTACAAACTAAGCTCATGTTCATCCGTTAATAAATCTTAAGTTTAACAAGAAATAATCAATCTGAAAGCTGTTCTCTCGTGAATTTTCCCTGCAAATGTTTACAAACGATGTGGTCTGATTAACATATTAATATGCTTGTCAATGACAGACAGAGAAGAGATATAAAAATAAATTTCTATTTAACAAACCATATAAGATAAACACTATAACCTGCTTCAATTTGACTCATTGATATCCACAAATAACGCAAAAATAACTGTTTGGAAGAACTTTGTTTAGTAGATACAAATGTCTATTTTACATTTAGTTTTGAACTAAACAAAACAGAGATTAAAATAACTCAAGCCGAAACATACACAAACTACATTAAGTATGCGTTAGTAAAATGTACCTTCGAACAACCTCATTTTAAAATGTTTCGTTAGAAAACAGATAATGATGATGGAGACGCTCCTGCTTAAACCTTTGTTAGAAACAGAAGTAGACGCCCAAAAAACTATGAAAAGTGTACAGATTAAAAACTTGTATTAATATCCATGATAATTTCAGTCGGAAAAGTATGAGTCACTTTAAACTTTAATTACATTTCGCTATTTTTACTATTGGGTGAATAAAATTGTTAGGACTATGAACCCGTTGTCCTAGTCATATAGTACCCAGTCATAAAATCAAAGATTCTAATTTGTATGTGACCTTACAATAGAACTACACTCTACAGCTGTATAGGGGATTAAGGAATTTTGAATTAAGAAATTATAAATGGCTGCAAGAATACCAACAACCATGTGAAATAAAAATAAACAATAGGAGATATAACTTAAAATATGATTTTATGGTGAAAGCATACATCAATAAAATGCTTAAATTTTTGGTTACTTATGGTGAAACTATCACAAAAATAATGAGACAACTGATAAAGGGTGAAAATGGTATTCATGTAGCCGAATGAAAAAAGATCACTAATTTACTCTTAAAACGTTTATGTGTCCAAGTAAAGGACATTACAACCAATGATCAAAGGCCTCAATTCCTCCTAATAAAAAAAAGCTACAAAAGAGCATTCTATAATCCATCAGATTACCATCAGTCAGTTGACTGAGAAAACGAAGGACATCACCACGGGGAATGATACTATCGTTTGATGAAGATATGTATTCAAGTCAGGATTTTTGAAAATAGAATGCCAGTAAACTTACAAAGTTGATGACAAGCACGTGCTATATTGTAGTAAACCTCCTGACAATCACCACGTAAACGTTTATATTCCCCAAGAAAACCAACAGCCTTAAATAAATAAATAAGGTATAATGATATGACAAAAATGGAATATTTAGAAAAATATCAAACTATGTATATTAGGGGTCGTTACTACAAGATGATAAGTTTAAAGACATTCAAAAAGGGAAGTCAAATACCGTTGTAACTCCATAGGACGTCTGAGTGAGCAAGAGAACGTTTTTTTTATGTCACTGACTCATGACGTAAAATATCACTTCATATAAATCTTAATTTCTTCTATGGGGAAGAGCTTCATGATCACAACTGATTATGGCTATCAGAAGCAGTTTACGCAAACTGCTCTCTAAAAAAGTTACATCCAGATAACAAAACTATTTTATTCACTAGTAGCGTTATTCCATTGTAACTGGATATGTAAGTGAAATAATTTTCGAAAAGAGTACTGATGTAATCCTCAATTTTTCTTTACATTACATTAACACGGCAGCCGATCACGTAATGTATTATGTTTTTAATAGTAGAAAAGAAACTTACCTGTAAAACAGCAAGATGACGTGAACCAATGTGTTTTTGCATGGACATACTTAGGAAGCCAACAGCGAGTAATAAAGTAAGAAGTGCATCGTCCGGAAATTTTTCTCTCATGTTGATTAGTCGGGCTTTCAGTTAAAAATTAGGAAAATAGCACAGTATGAAATGAGATTCGATGGTCATAACACATATCATTCAATACAAAGTTAACGTATGATTAACAGTAAGTAGTGTATCATCAAAAGAGAAGACCAATTATGAAGCGAAAACTACCTGCGTAATTCTGTAGCACAGAGATTCAAAATCCATTCACTGGGCCACATGATAAAAATGAATACACAGGAATTAGCATTGACAATCATACACGCACTATATACAACATGTACCCTAAAGTTTGTTATCCTTATGTGAATATACAAAATTTATCCGTGTGAAAATACACTAAAACTAAATTGTTCATGAATTTGGATTCCATTGCATCTAAGCAGCGTGATTAGCAAATAAGTTATGTGTGGTTTGTAAACAGCGAATAAAGCTTTACACAATTACTGATTTGAATACTATTTTTAAAAAATGAAAACGGATTACTTTGATATTGTTATAATCTCTTTCTTACGGTTATGACCCAGCTATTCCTATTGCTTAGTATTCTCGGACACCGATTCACTCGACAAGACCCCAAATCAAAACACGGTTGAACAGGAAGGAGATTATATCCCAAATAACAAGGTTAGATGGAAGTCAGAAGCCAGTAAGAAGCACAATAGGGAAAACGTCAGTGTATTTATAGTTTTTACATGAGAAGATTCTAGAGTATTCTCCAACTATCGACTAGTGCTGATTGGATAAGAATTAGTCACATTTGTGTCAGGTTCTACGTTAATTATGACTGAATTATTAAAGTCACAGAATTAAGTCCAAAACGACGAAGCGCTGGGCAACCTTTCTCAATTTTGTATCTAAATGCATCTACAATAACATACTAAATCAATAAGTCATGAATAATGGTACGACATATCGCATTATAATGCTTCACACAGATAACTTACACCCATTCATTTTTCTGATTTTCGACTACAAAAAACGAGCCGAAGATAGTTTACTTAAACAGACTATTCGTTCTAATTAGGATCACGAGCAGATCAATGTTAGACTACCACTAAAAAACTGGAAGCACTGAACGGCCGTTTCGTCCTAGTATGGGACTCCAGAGCAGTACTCATACACGATACTACACGCGGGATTCGAACCCAGAACTTTCGGTCTCGTGCGATGATCTCAATCAAAGCACAACAATCTCCACAACCCTATACTTATAAAACTATCTGTTGTTGAATCAAGAGAAGACTAATGACCATCGATTCTTTAGTGAAGATAATCAGTAAAGAAATAACGCCAGAAAATCAACAAACAAAGCAAAAAATAACAATCACAGCAACAATGAAAGTCGATCATGTAATGGAAACAAGTAGAATAAGAAGACTTGCCAATAGCATAACGATATGAACCTCGAACCAAAGTGTCACTACTAGCAATAGTACCGATAGCCAAATTCAAACTATCCTGAAAAGCATAGAACAATAAATATGTATGACGGAAAAAATTCAAACCGCACTCAAGAGAATCGGTACGCCATTTATGATAGGCTCAACGGTAATCGCTTACCTAAATCAAAACGATAACGAGAGTAATATTAGTGGTAATAGTGTACCTTGTCTCACACATGTATATTATTCAGTTTATGGTGTAATCATCTAGTACTTACATTTGATCAAATTATACGAACCAAAGTGTTGGGATACAGTCATAAAACAGATAAAAGAACATTAAAATGCAAAGAAAATAACGTTGAAATCTTGTCGACATTTAGTAGTAATTCCTGTGAGATAAGCCTACTTTAATGTGAATACGCTTGTGAGCCTTAGAGATACAAACCAACGCTGATCTAAAATATAACGAAACTGTGAAACCGTCAGTAAATTTTGATAATGAACTTTCCAGTCTACAATTTCATATAATTAATATTGAGACATAACACTAAGATTTGTTTGTATTTCTAATAAAATATATATAATAAATTATTCCGTTAATTGCATTTCGATAAAATGATAAGCAATCAAGATATCATTTATTGTGCGGGTCCAGTATGGTTAATGCGTAACAAGTCAGTTGAACACTAGATTCATTTACAAAAAACCTACTTTAGTAACTAAACGATCCAAAAATCTACAATGTTTAAAATCACGTGAAAGAGTGATTGCCAGATTCATCACATTCCAATACTGGTTATATTCACTCCACTGGAAAAGAATTAAATTTATGTAAATCTCGTGAAAAAATATCACTGGTTTCAGAATTCATTTAAAGTTTGACGATAAAATAAATAAATACAAACATGCAAACAAATGAAGTTCGCCAAAATTATAATCATAATAAGTTACTGAATCATAATTATTTCAACATGTGTGCGTTAAATAGTTATTTATCCCTAGTAATAGAAAAGTCGTAAATTATAGCCTTCATTACATATCAATAGTACTGTTTTGGGGACGTTAGATCCCCAGAACTCATTTGTAAATGCCTTAATTTTGTAATTTTATTTTGGAAATTTAAATTTCCTTGTTTTCGCGTCAAAAGCGCTCTTTTCACCTTCATGTCGTAATTCCCACTTGAGAGAATCTTGAACGCTATTGGTCTGTTGTGTATTTTTAGTATGCTATTTATGCTACGCTGTTACTATTCACTCGTGCTTCTGGCTTACGGAATATACTTTCCCGTTCCAAGTTTGGACTTCTTCCTCTATTTAGTGGGGCTGGGACGCATCAAATAGTTAGCTTATTGGTCTACGGTCACAAGTCTTTGTTTTGTTTGCATACTAAGTGAACTCGTAATAGCTTCAAACCTAGTATACTGTAAGCCTAAAATGTTGGGAGTCTTTGTAGAATAGTTAAAAGGAAATAAGTATACTTCTGTTACTGTTATGTCCCGATAAACATAATGAATGGTAACTTTTGTGATCCATTTATGTACATTTTTATCGTATAATTGTTGAATAACTAAACTATATATATTCATGTCCTTCGTATTATGAGCTTTATTTTGACCTATGAACTATTGTTATACGATTTACCGTTCTTGAATTATACCCTGTCTATTAATCACTACATCCCATGTTCACAGCCACATTTAGCCAAATCTTGAACAAATGTTGCTTCCTATTTTATGGTACTATGTGGTCTGTTTGGTTGGTATGTAAACCCAGTGTGCTTGAAATAGATGATTCATATTACAGAGGCTGAGATTGGTGTTCTGGACTTAACTGGCTGGGCTAGGCATGAAGTAGGGCCAATAGGCACTCTAGACTGCTCGAACGTGTTTCATGCGTCACTGGTGCGACCGATAATTCACTGCCCTCTCATTGACGATATCGTTACGTTATACATTAGCAAGGCACTAAGGCCACAAGTTATATCAGTTATACAGCAAAATACTGTGAATAAAACATTCATGTGAGTGAATGAACTACGTTTGGTCGATTATCAGTTTGAAAAATACATGTATCAAGTTATTTTAAGCAGAGATGGATGATGGGTAGCAATGAAGCCCAGGACATATCTTAGTCCTAACCGGGACTCGACACCTGGATATACCTGCATCCCAGATCTGCTGATACCAGCTAAAATGTTGATATTTTGATAGTGGTTTGCTTCATTCTGTGTTATCATAGATTATAATAACCAATAAAAGTTCGCTAGAAAAAAATTCATTTATTACAGTTAACTACAGTTCAAATCCCGTTTAATATGTAAAGTTTTCAAATCAACAGAATGATTACAGCTTTTCACTATACACATTTAATTTATATTCTACTTCGATTCGTTGGATAGGACTGTTCTCTGGGAGTCTATGGGAGAAGGGTTTGTCTGAGAAGTTTATTAAATTCTTGAAAGTTCTATACACAAACACCTGTCTTTATCGTTTCGTTCAAGCAATGGGGTTATACAGGGTTGCTCAATCTTACCATCCCTCGTCAACTTCGCCACTGATGACATTCTGGAAACAGCTCTGATGGATGTAGGTAATGGTGGTGTGGATCTGTTGCATGGAGACACAATTTTCGACCCTGAGTATGAGGATGATATTGTCTTACTGTGTGGTGATCCCCAAACCAATCCGTACATAGTCAGTTGTCAATCATTGCCAGTAGGTATGGTATGTTCTTCGCACCTTCCAAGTGAAAAGTACTTCTACAAGACTGTTAAGATCCTGATCCTGAAGGCGCCCTGGATAGCAAGCAGACAAAGACAGTTGAGAAGTTCGTGTATCTGAATAAATGACTAAGTGCTGGTGCGGGCGTATAGTGAAAGCCAAAAAGGCTTATGCCAATCTGGGCCATCTTTGGCGCATTAGTGATGCTAGTCCGGATGTAAAAGGTCAGTGAGAGCAATTTTGTTCTATGCTTGTGAAACTTGGCCTCTCCGAGCTGAGAATATTAGACGACTTTTTGTGTTTGGGGTCCTATAGATGGTGCAATACAATGGCCAGAGACACTAACAGAAACGGCTCAGGATACAAGCCAGTGGCGATCCTAGTGTAACTTTTTCTACTTTCTTTATGGAAGTGAAAGTAATCTTTCTAACTGAAAGAATCCTTTTTGGTTGTATCTTTCCTGACTGAACTGCTTCAACCATTAATATCATTATTATTACTTCATCACCATACAGTAGTTTCTATTCATTTTTGTTCTTTTTTATTATATTCACCTTCCTTTCTCCATCTCTTTGCAACCTCATCTTTATTGTGGGGCGCACATATATTTTGGTTCCCACTTGTTCCAATGTTTATGTGTTTAAACAAATAAATAATAGCTGACAAGGCTTAAAAAATAACTGCTTTTCCATACGGCATTGAAACTATAACACATTACCCCCTTAGAGATGATGACTGAATTTCGAAAAGCCTGAATTGTAGAAGCGTTGGAAACGAGAGCATAAAGATTATCAGCTGGTCTCTAATGACATTTAGATGTAATTTTAGCTATAAGATATTGTACTTAATGGCTGTTACTAATAACAAAAGCTTGGAAATGATTAGCGATTTAGTCTGGTAGATCAAACGGTAGAGCAACAGGTCAGTAACGTTTAGATCGCTGGTTATGATTTTCCGAAGTATTAATTTACATTATTTCAGATAGTTTGATTATTGATTTCCTAAACTGTACATTCCTTATGTTTGATGAAGATTATCCTCACTAAGAATACTTCCTACCATCGCTAATGAATATGTTCTAAACAGGGAAATACTGCAAAAACATACGTTTTAGACGATTACATATATATTATAACTGACCTGCTTTTGAATTTTTCGTAGTTCCAAAAATGCTGGCGTGCCATGACGTGCAATAAGTGAAGAACTAATTAAAAGATGACTTGCAGCTAACCGACGTAGATCATTGCCTTGAACATGAGGTAATAAAGAAGCCCATGCAGTAGCTGTTTCCAATTGGGGCAATGATTTTGGCAAACGAGCACGTAACACATCCACAACACGCAAAAATAATCCCCAAATATCTGAGCTGCTTACACCATTTGTTTCTGTAGTTGAGCGTTCAGCGTCTATCTGGTTAGATAATGTATCAGTCAATGCTGGAGCAACAGAAGCTAGTCGGTCAATCACTAATTTTCGATGCTGTTCACTATCAAGAGTTAAGGCAACTTTAGAAAGAAGGTAACGAAAGATAAACAAGAAAAATTATTCACCACTAACATTATCCTTATTAGATTTCATACAGATTTACATAAGCTCAATTTTAAATGATCTGAGAGCAATTATTCTCTCTGTAGTCCATAAACAGTGTGAATGTTTCGATGAAAATAGATAAAACGGTTTACTTATCAGTTATTAAGACAGTGTTGTTGCACAGACAAATGAAGAGAAATCAAAATAAGTGGTTGTTTTTTATTGTTATTTATACACAGAATATATCTTAATTTGTAGATAAAACTCTTGGACAAGGTAACGGTGGAATAAGTACAACACAAAGTATCTAGGTAACAAAAAGTACCGGCATCTCATAAGCAAACCTTACACAGCGCAGTATAACGATATTAATTAAGAATCCAATCTAAATGAAATGAAACAAAATAAAATGAACTGTTCAGTCAACTGTTTCCAATGTAATCATGCTACAGAACATCAAAGACAAAGTTTAAGTGTACTAGAAAGAAATACTCTAATTCCAGGAGCATAGAGAAGCGAATAACAAATCTACAGTAGATAGCATAATACTATAATTTAGATCATTTTACTTCTCAATGTGAATAATTGTAGCAACAAATTCTAATTCAAACTATAACTAATTACTATTGTCCAAAAGATGAAAGTTAAACACTTTGATAAATATTACGCATCCGCTTATGTACAAAGTAAATACAGTCAGGCTGAAAGATTTATTTGACTTTAAATTTGATAAATCTTACTAGAACGGTTGTAGCTGGATTCTTAGACCCTTACCATATTTGCAGACTAATTCTACCCACTAACTCAAGCAACAGAAAAAGGGACGTATAAGTACATCAAATTGTTTTCATTTATAGTCTTCGAGACAATGTTGATATAGTAACAGAAGTAATTGATCAATCAAAATTTGACACATAATCTTTTATTTTTCCAAGCATTTCTGAGAAGCTTCTATTTAGTGCCGATTAGATGAAACGTTTTCAAATTTTTCCAGCATATAGAGACTCTACCGAGGAACATTTTCCGGTTCTCAACAAAATTATATAAGTAATATATGTGAGCGTATTATTCGAAACAGTATAAATCCCCCTATTTTACTTTAATATTCAGTAGACGATCAAGGTTAAATCATTCAGTTGTGGATTTAAATTCACTTGAACAGGTAATTAGTCCTTCGGTTACGGTGTGCAAATTTGTTTACATTAATGAAGGGAACGAAACTATATTCAGTAAAAATGTCTACAACTACCCATAGCCTGCACTTCCATTTGTCGTATTTATTAATTCCGTCCTCATTATTTCTTGAATAATAAAACATAAGATAATTACTTATAATATTACGACAAACTGTGTACATTTCGATCTCATCGCGATATATAACATAGAGAAAACAGGATATTATTCAAGCTGGATCAATAATAAAAGTGAAAAGAGAAATCTGTTAAATTTTGTAATACATTTGATTTTAACAAATGACATTTACAAGTAAAAATATGGGAAATAGGCTATTGATTCAATAAAAAATTTACTTACGTTGAGTAAATCTAGGTCCGCAAACACGTGTCACATCACTAAACAGCAAAGCCCAAGCTTCTTCTAAAAATGAATCTACACTTTCTGGTGTATCAAGCATTCGACAACGTTCGTAGGCTAATCTGTATGCCACATGATCACGGGAGACAAGGTTAGCTGATGCATCGAGCCAGTCGCTATCTAGACAAACTTTCTCAACAGAACATTCATCGCTATCGATGTCACCAACAACTGAAGTTTTTCGTAAGTCAGAAGAAACAAATGATCTAACAGTTGATCTGTGACTGGATTTCAATGGAGATTTTTCTCTTTTCTGTACAATTAAATCACACTGTTCGGTCAAAGATATTTCGGGTTTAACACCTTTCTGAACTAAATTTGAGGGATTTAAGAACTAAAATTTCAGAGAAACAAAAAAGATAAAATTGATATTATAACCAGAAATAATAAACATAAACATATCATTACCAAAAATCCCATTTCTTAAAGATTCAGAGATTCGATACAGACAACGTAAGTGAAAAACTAACATATGCACATTTCAAAAACAAAAAAAATAAATGCATTTACAAATAAGTAAAGATATAACTCAATAAAGTTCCAAACCCCTTGCGAGTAAATATCGCTCCAAGGTCTGGATAAAGGAGGAGGGTAGAAAACAACCTTGCTAAAAACCTTAACCAAGAGAATCATTTAAACTGTCACCTGGTAGTTGGAACGATCTTCATTTAGAAGAATCATAACGCCTTATGGTAAAAGCTGAGATCCTTTGGATATCACGAGGCCGATGCCCCTTCTAACAACTAGAGCAACAATTACGTTAGGTACATGAACTTGTGGACGAAGACTAAATTATAAGTAACTTCTAGAACTAATTATGGACTGTTATTATATATATATAGGCTTTCGTTTGATCCATTAGCGACTATTACTACAGTCTTTCACGCTAACATCGATTTAAGATTGATCTTCTATAATTGTTATTTACTATTTTATAGTATGATGATATCTCATTTCCTTGTATATAAACTAGGTATGTCTGAAATATATGATTCAGACAGTGTAAGCTGAGATTGTGTTCGCGAGTCAAACGGGCAGGTGTAAGCGAGAAGAACCAATAATGACTAAGAGTAAACTCAAGGTTGCTGAAAATGATTAACGCGTCATTGAGCTGGCACAGAGCCAAGGTCGTACAAGTCAGTGTTCTGTTTATCGACCATGTCACATGGTGATTGAAGGGGCTTAAACATAACACATGAAATGCCAAAACAATGTGGGAGTCCATGAAGACCAGTCAAATAGCTGAAGAAATGAGTGAAACCCATTAACTTCGGGAGAGGTATTGTTGTACTCTGATCATGAAGAGTTGCACTGATGCTAACCGAAGAAACACCGAAAGCGCTTATATGGTGGGAATCTCATGGATCTAGAATCATCAAATCATTCTACAAAACAAAGGAGGGGATTACAATGAATGTTATCACCAATGAAAGTGAAGAAGACGATAAAGATCACTTTTGTGGGAGGTTGCCAGGAACAGACATGACTGTACTGATGGAGGACCTCAATGTCAGGGTCAATATGAACAACACCGAGTATGAACATATCATGGGACAACATGGAATGAGAGAAAGGAACAAGAATAGTGAAAGACTTAGAGATCTATGTACTTTCAACAACATGGTTATGGGAGACACTAACACTAACTTCAATCTGACAGGAGTTGCTGACCCGTAAGAAACGCCATCATTAAGAATGGACCCCTATCGAGACCCAGGACAAGAAAAAAGGAGCTAACAACAGTTGAACAAGAGCAGAGAAGGCCATGGCACAGACCGAGTAGACACAAGCAAACAGGAAAGTGAAGAGCAGCATTAGAGGTGACAGGCTTGATAAATGGAAAACTTAGCAAGAACGGTCGAAAAAGATCCAAGATAAGGAAATATGAGACAACGAAGAAACTAGCAGGGAAATGTGGTGGACCACAGTAACTAATCCAGAACAAAGAATGTAAGCCAATCACTGAGTTCCAAGAACAGTGGAACAGATGGGTAGGACACTTCGAAGAAATATGGGGAAACTGTCAGGGGAAATATACCAAAGCAGAGAGAGCGGTCAAGGGCAAAGAAGTCAAGCCAATCATTGGGATTCAAGAATAAAGGACCAGATGAGTGGAACACTTCGAGGATCAACAAGGAGGATATGATGCATATAGAAAGTGATAAGTCTTGTCGATTGAACGCTATATTTGATTCCTAAGCTATTCGGGTAACCCGCAAGCTAGAACTACACAGCGACTTGAACACCAAAAAGAAGACGCAAAGTATGAGAGAAAAGACATTACTCCAAGGTTCGTTCTTGTACAGAAAATCATGGGTATTTATAGATGTTAGCGTTTGTTAAATCAACATCATATTTCGGCCAATCCGTTAGCGACATATTATGCTACTGACCAATAGTAGCACGCCATGTTGGAATTCTAGAATGCTCCATCGTGCTCTATTTGGCAAGGACTCTTCAGTTCCTTTTGGGCCTCTGGAGACTCCGTTGAAGTTCTCCGAAAGCCGACTCAACAGAAGGGCACAAATTAGCAAAGCAAAGATAGCACTCCTGTAATTGAAGGACATCTCGGACTCGAAACAACTGTCAACCAACATCAAAGTTAGAACGTAAAGACAGTTTTATTCTACTGAACTTAAACGTGGAGAACTACTAAAAAATATAATATTGAATAAAGCCATTAATAATAATGATTAATAATAATCCTCAAAAAAGTACATGTATTTATAAACAGTTTTCTACGCAAGATACTCCACATCCACTGGACAGATACGATCAGCAAAAACCTAATGTGGTAGAGAACAAACTAACTTCTAGGTGAAGAGAGAATTAAGAAAAGACGATGGAGGTGGGTATGACATACAATGAGGAATTCATCAAACCGCATCACGAGGCTAGCCCTAACTTGGAATCCTGAAGACAAAAGAAGAAGATGGAATTTAATGTAGACATCGAAAGAATGAATAGCAGTTGGAAACAAATGGGAAGGAGAGCCCAGAACAGAGTTAGTCGACGACCTATGTACCACTAGGGGTAACAGGCGTAATTAAGTTGATAACCATTTAATATAAAATTAAAAACATCCATTTACGCAATTTATGAATCGTATGAATAAATATTTCTCGAAACTTACCTTTAAAGCCTCCTGATTCCTACCAAGGCGTCTAAGAAGATTTACAAGACCCAGACGTGCGCCGGTATGCCGAGGATCAAGATTTTCTATGACATGGCGATAGGCTTTGATGGCACTTTCTGTTTCACCTGCTTCTAAATAACATTCAGCCAGTAATGTCCAAACTTGTACCAACTGATAGAAATAAATAAAATTAAAACCAAAGTATGGAATAGTAAATTCCCTAAAATTACCGAAGTAATCTGGAGATCTAAGAAACAGATTGATATATGGCTAGAGAACTACAATTACCGTTTTCCACACGTCAAATGATCACTCCGAATTTGAAAGATAAACTGCCTAGACTAGCCACCCATTTTGTATTTATCAATTCAGCTGCTCTTGTGGAGCAAGTTATATTGGCGGATGTTCTAGGAATTTGTATATTCGAGCTCGTGAGCACCTCTCAGTTTGGTTATGCAAAGGTGTAGTTAAAACGGTTAACAACCCCATTTTAGCCCATTTAATGACTTAACTCCCAACGAACCTAACAGATCTATTTCTTCAGACTGCTGATTTATTCATAACACGACATTTTGTTCACGCATTGTCTTTAATTCTTGTACATCAATCCCCACAGTACAATTTTAAAAAAAGATGTACATTTAACAAAAGGATGTTTAAATTTATAACAATAAACACAAATATTATGATGACAAATCTGAAATTAACAAAGCTTTACGAAATTTTAACTAGAATTGTAATCGGATATAACTAGAGAAAACTCATGGTAGACAATAGATGGAAAAGTTAAAACTTCATGCTAAAAATACACACTTATATTTTCTGCAAACAAATTAAGTGAAAGTTACTTTAGATTCTGTTGTCTGATTAATGACTGATTGAACCTATACTATATTTATTGTATGCTATTAGAGGAGTAGATTACTCTGATTCAACATAAGTAACACAATGCAGCTTACATTTACAGGAGCCTAAGTACATGTCATGCTTCTTAGTTTTGATTTAACGAATTTGAAAACTGTTGTAGGAAGATTAAGAAAAATTGTTTAGATTACTTTGAATTCATTACATGAATAAAATGCATCCTCAAAAACTAGACTACTGAGCAAAATGTATATTTGTTCATTAAAATTTTTGAAACCATTTTTCTTGTGAGGAAAGCGTAAATTACCCGTTCTAGTTACGTGATTTTGTATTTAACTCATGTGAAGAAGTGAACTCATCGTAGACGAGTCCAGTAAATTGAATTATCACTCGAGTTTCATCATTGCTCAAGAAAAATAAAATGAAAAAACGCTAAAAACCATACATATTTAGGAATACGGTTGGTTCTGATTAAAGCAGATAATATCTGAATCTACCTCATTAATATAAGCATGGTACTATTTGAACACAGCTTCAAAAAAATAGATACATAGAGATGCCCTACAAAGAATAAATCTAAAAAACCACTGATATGCAGTTGATTTTATCCTAACAAAATCAACTCCAAAAATCATAAAACCGGATATAGTACACTAGTTACAGTAATCGCGATGTCAAATTAACGAAGGTGGAAACGATACAAATACCTTACAGGTAACATTTGACTTTTTGAGTTTCAGAATAAGCTGAATCGATATGGAGTATAAATTTTTCTCTTTGTAAGCGACAACGATATCCAAAAGCCAATTAGAATATTTTGCAATATTTTCATTTGTGTACGTTGATTCAACACGGGACTATATTAAATAAATAAAAAGCAAATTTAAAGCTGGGGTGGAACTGTTATGAACGGGGAATTAAGAAGCCCAGACAATTACGAAAGCTATTTTCTTGGGACGTTATTGCATTTCATTCAAAACCTGTAAAACACTTTTTGTCCCTATCTTATTCTACATAACACGAGCTTTCGTTCTATGTATCATTCAGTAGCATACCCTTTTTTGTTCCAAAAATATTGTAATTTAAACATAATATTTTGCACTGTATTTTCTACCCTAATTCCCTGTTTCGGGCATAACTGTATTTTTCCAAATTATCGTACGTCGTGGTCATGATATTCACTTATTTATTCATGTACATTTTTGTACTAATTCGAATTCAGAGAATCCAGGGTTTAGTGTTCCAACTGTCTTGTCTTCTTTCACTTGTGTGCTTGCCAACCAATCAGGATTTAGAATAGTTCTCTCTACCCCATCTCGAACTCACGCGTATTAGACTCAAGGTTAAGCCACTCAGCCTAACGCGTCAAGGTCATAGTTTAGTCTAGGCAAATCAAGGTGAAGTCATAACAAGTATCACGGGGTAAAAGCGATTCAAGTTCATAACAGGAACAAAGATGAAAATGAGAATAAGGAGGAGATTTGTAGTTCAGGTGGATGATTTTCATAAAGTTTTGTTCTCTGAGCTGGATAGTTTGGTCGTGGAGCTTTCATCGTTCTTCTGAACAACACCATCAACACAAACTTCAGATAGAAGTGAAGTGTTCGGATTTCTCCATATGCGTTTCACAACTTGTTCTGTACACCTCGACGTTGATTGGTTCTTATTGAGCTTAAATTTGTCATTGTTTACTTCCTTGTTTTGGTTGTGTTTCCCATTGGTTTGATTTTTGGTCCTAGATTTGTGCATAATTTTTCTAATTGGTTGATAAATTGGGTCGATTTCAATGTGCTTGTTGATTGCTGATTGACCCGAGTGCCAGGCTTCTAAAAATTCTCTGGTGTTTTGGGGATTCCCTCTGTCCAAGATTTCCACATTTTTCCAATCGAATGAGTGTCCGCAGTTGTCCACGTGTATTGATATAAGTGAGAAAGTACCATAGCGTATGATTGCTAATTGATGTTCATGCAGGCGAAGGTGAAGGGGGCGTCCGCTTTGTCCGATGTAGTGTTTTTCGCAGTTGGCACAATTTATTTTGTAGATGTTTGATTTGACTCCCATTGTTATTTCATCGTTTGGTTTGCATAGGATTGATTGTAGCGATTTTGTCGGTTTGTGTTCCACACCTATGCCGAAGATTTTCCGCAGTCTCGTTGCGGTTTCTGATATGCCTTTTATGTATGGTCGGGCGATCCTTTTGTTGATTTCTGTGCTTGACTTAAGTTCTGATGCTGCGTGCGGTTGGTATTTTTTGATAAAGTTGATTGGGTAGCCGTTCTTTTGAAATACGTCCTTCAGGTACTTCTCTTTATTTTTTCGTGCTGCGGTGTGTCCTCGCCCTTTTGAACAAAGTGTGTACGCAGTTGATTTTGTGAGCTCTTGGGTTGTTGCTATTGTAGTTGAGAACAAAACTCCATCCAAAAAAAGATGAAAATAAATGGTCCTGATAAGACAATAATATAATTAATTAAATAATGTTGCTAAATAATCCAGTACAGGTTTATGTACCCAGTTTTGAGTCAAACATCTATGGATGCTGGTGATATATTTTGGGACAGTAAATCTCAATATACGAAGGTGAGTTCAAACTTGTGGTGCTAATCCATTGGGGTTTCCTGGAGGGGGTTCGAATCCCATTACCGTCGCCAAATTTGATAGGGTTGAATCTATCAGGAGTTTCACTTAATCTGTGAACGAGAAACAAGATTCGGTGACCAAAGACCAGTAAGCTAGCTATTGATGCGTCCCATCCCAGCTAATTAGAGGGAGAAGTCGATGCTCGGAATGGGGAATTATATTCTGCAAACAGCCAGAAACGAGCGATAACAACAAATACAATTCAAAACGTATATATACAGTACAAAACCGTCCTTGGGAAAAGTTACCAAATAGCATACTAAAAGACATTATGTCAAAAAGTAAGCAATCATTTTACTGTACCAGTAATTGATGTCAACATTTCATTACATGACGTTTATGGGTACACCTGTCATGTAGCACAAGTAGTGCTAAATATTGAGATGTCACTTGTAACTGTCAGTATTTTCTAAATTATAATAATCTGTAGTTTAGTAAGATTAACCTACTTAGCACTAAATGATGGTTTGAAGGATTTTTAAAATAGAATTTAGTCATAACAGAAATTACGTTTATGACATCTTAGTGAATCTTTAAAAACCACAAATAAGAATCACTTTTGTTTAACTTTTACGCCATTGCAATGGCTTGCGGATGTTTTTATAATGTACATAATCTATTCAAAACTTTTGTGCAGTTGTGTTAAAACAAAGAATATTAGAGAAATACAATGTATCAACTCACCACGACTAATGGGCCAAGTCCCAGATGTGCAAAAATAAGAAACAATTTCAACTGTAATTCAACAGGCATATTATCAGGGAATTCACATCTAGATAAAACAAATAAATAGATAAATTATATACGATAAGAAATAACCAGTGATGAGTCAATTTACCTTTTAAATTTCTCCACAGACGACAACTTCGATGAATGTCTGTCCATATCAAATAAATCCCCAGAATTCAAATACAGTTTGACACCACAGAAGGAAGTAAAAAACTATAATTTTCAACAATGAAAAATATTTTCCAATTTATCGTTTAAGAACTCAAAAGGTTATTAAAGTATTTACAGATATGATAACACAATGTAACTGATTACAGAAAAAACAACTAAGTTAATAAGATAAAAAAATTTTTGTTTATCTATGCGAGTTCACAAAACACATTACAATATTATGCAATTAGTTCTCTTGGTAAACTTTTGTAAAGTAACAACAGCCAGCAACGTAGGATGAATGAAGTGGATTAAGGGACGGAGAGGATATAATGTAATGGGGTATAAGAAATATATGTAAACTGTTATGATTACGATAGACAGAATGATAAAAATGACAGTAATTAACAAGAAACAATTTTAAAGCAATCACCATAGCGATGATAATAACACTAATAATGACAGCAATAGCTGCAGAGAATAGGAGAGTGTTATATTCCGACGGGAATTATGAATAGTAACTTTTGAGAATTATTTATGAACCAATACAATACATATACTTTTACGGTATGATTATTAAGTAGATAAACTATGCATATTCATGTTCCTCTTATTAAAAGCTTTATTTTGACGCATAGAATATTGTTATACGATTTACCGTTCCTGAGTTCTGTCCAGTCTATTAATTACTGCCTACCACATTCACAGCCACTTTTTGGCTATATCTTGCACAAATGTTACTTTCTATTTTATGAAGTGATGTGGTCTGTTTGGTTTGTATATAAACCCAGTATATTCGAAATACGTGATTTATATCGCAGAGGCTGAGATTGGTGTTCTGAACTTAATTGGATGAGCTAGGCACGAAGCAGGGCCAATAGGCACTCTAGACTGCTCGTACGTGTTTTATGCGTCACTGGTCCGATCGATAATTCACTGTTGTCTAACTGGCGGTATCGTTACCTTATATATTGATAGGGCACAAGTTATAACAGAGAGAACAGATTAAATAGAAAAGAAGTCAAACATTCTACTGAATAATGTTGAAATAATAAGACTAGTTGTAATGGTAGTATATTAGGAATAAAGATCAGGCTAAAAAATTGAATTTTATATATTTTGAAGACGAGAACTACTGAATACAATGTAGGATATCATTCAAATGGTCACTATGAATGTCAGGTGAACCACAGACTTTTTCAAACACAAATTAGAGTAGAGACGTCAAATGGTGGTTGTTCTTTAGTAGAGTGATAGTCTACCATTATTTTGCTTGTTTATCACTTAGAAGACAGTAGTATAAGGGTTTACTGAGTAATCAGTGTTTAAAATATGTCTTACTATGGTACTACTAGGTAGTTTGGAGCCATTAAAGGTTAAATTCTTTAAAATATTCCCTTCTAGATAATACCCTACCTACGTGCTGATGCAGGTACAGGTGGAAAGGTAGATATAACTGGTTGTAATTAGCGAAGGTCTATGTTAGTTTATCTGACTAGCCATTTTGTTAAGTATGTGATAACTATGTTAGCAAATGAACAGGTCAGTGTAATTCTGAGCCTAAGTCAACGTTAATCCTGAACACTAACATCATCTCCTTTGATTGGGAGTTTGTCAAACAGTAGCTTGTTGCGGCATCTCAGGTATATAAACAGCTGTTTCATCTAAAAATGAACATTTGCTAGTAAGTGACCACGTTGATAAATACAAACACGAGATTATTTTGAGTATACAAAACAACATAGGGACAATAAAAATAAATTACAAGACTAATCAAAATTGAAGTAATGAACAGAAAAAACCGTCACACTCAATGAATAGGTCATTAAAGGTTAAAGAAGATCAGCTAACCAAACAATTGTAGAGTTGACTGACACTAAATAAGAATTTTACGCTTTGCTATGATATGCCTTTTTAAACCAAAGTAGTGCTAAAATTGTAGCATATTCATATCAAAACAAATTATAGAAATCTAACATAATCTAACAGAATTCCATCATATTCGTTAATATGGACGTATACCCATGATTTACTGAACGATTTTCTAGAACCAACTAACCAGTTCCGCATATTCATGAGACGCTCCAGAAAATATTTACTTGATAAAACTCGTAACTGTTTTTGCCTTCAACTTCTTTCGTCAAGAAATTTAGCGAAAATCCCAAAAGATATACAATGATAATATAAGCTACTTGTTTACTAACTGGAACATTTGATCAATATCAATGTGAACCCTGATTATTTAACTTATTCTGTTCTTTCATCTTAGCAAACCAATTTCTTAGGTGAAGTTCAACGCTAAATAAATTCATATTAAAGGGCAGTGGTGCTGTTTCATGCTAACGACTTTGATTATAGGGTTGAGCAACATAAGCTAGATTTTCTTCATTTTACGTGAGTACGTAAATCTACGTTGTGGAAGGCCAGATACACAATACCATTGACTACGAAATATCAAAATTCTATCTCAAAGTCATATCGACTCTATGTAAAATTCATAAGTTAGAAATAGGAATAAGGCTCGATCATAAATATATATAATTTATCAAGACAATGCTAAATTTACCTTTAGAGCTTGATCATAACGTTTCATTTGAAACAAAATCGATAAGGCCGAATTTCGATCTTCATGTAAAAAAGAGAGTGAATTTTATTGAAGTCGATATCAGTTATAGGAAAAAAACACGCTTAGCTGCAAAAACTAGAAACATGATTGCTCAAACAATAGCATAGGAATTTAGGACAACGTAAGTTAGCAAATTATGATAAACTGTAATGACTTCTAGAAAATTTATATGACGTTGAACTTCAAGCAGAAGCGCGATTCCATAAAAGTCGAAACTAAACGGATCATTGCTTTAATTAAGAAAATTAATTCTCACTAAGACACTTGGAATAGTTTAATAGTCCATAGTACCGAAACACAAGTTTATTACGGTAAATGCGGTTAAAAGAGAAGACATGAACTAGAAAAAAACCTGACTGTTTTTAATTTCTGCGTCAAGTAATTATCGGTCCTGGGATTAAAAATAAATCATAGTGAATCCCAAAACCAACTTAAAGGCTCTATTCACAATTAAGGATAATTGTGTTTATTATTGAAGAACTACGGGGAAACTGTCAGGGGAAATATACTAAACCAGAGAGACCGGTCAAGGACAAAGAAGTCAAGCCAATCACTGGGATTCAAGAATAGAGAAACAGATGAGTGGAATACTTCGAGGAGCTCTTGAGCAGACCAACTCCATTGAATCCACCAGGTATCGAAGCAGCACACAAAGACCTTCCAATAGATATCACTCCACCAACGGTCGAAGAAATCAGGATGGCCACCAGATAAATCAAGAGTGGGAAAGCAACAGGACCTGACAACTTACCAGCTGAAGCACTGAAGTTAGACATAGAGGTAACTCCTTGTTCAGATAGATTTGGGAGGAAGAACAAGTGCCAACAGACTGGAAAGAAAGGAGATCTGAGTAAATGTGAAAACTACAGAAGCATCACACCTCTATCGGTACCAGGAATAATTTTCAACAGTGTCGCTGAACTAGATGAAGGATTCAGTAGACGCCCAACTTCCAGAGACCAACGGACCGTATTCCATAAGGATCGGTTGTGCACAGACCAAATCACGACATCACGGACCACTGCTGAATAACCAACTGAATGGAACTCGTCACTATTCACCAACTTCCTTGATCATGAAAAAGCATTCGACAGTGTGGATAGGACAACATTATGGAAAATTCTTCGACACTATGGAGTACCTGAAAAAATCGTCAACATCATCGGGAATTCGTACGACGGGCTACACTACAAAGTCGTGCATGGAGGACAACTGACAGATGCATTCTAAGTGAGGACTGCAGTCAGACAAGGCTGCTTACTCTGCTCCTTTCTCTTTCTTCTTGTGGTTGACTGCATTTTGAAGACCTCCACATCTGAGGGGACGCACGGGATAAAATAGACAGCTTGGATGCAACCAGATGATCTGGACTTCGTAGATGACCTAGCTTTTCTATCCTATACACACCAACAAACACAGGTAAAGACAGTCAGCGTAGCAGCAGCCTCTACAGCAGTAGGTCCCAACATACGTAAGCAATTAAGCAAGATTTCTTAATATAACACAATAAGCATCAACCCAATCACACTTGATGGAAACTTATATGGGTAGCATCATAGAATAACAAGGAGGACGTGATGCATATGGAAGGGCACAAATTAGCAAAGCAAAGATAGCACTCCTGTAATTGAAGAACATCTCGGACTCGAAACAACTGTCAACCAACATCAAAGTTAGAACGTAAAGACAGTTTTATTCTACTGAACTTAAACGTGGAGAACTACTAAAAAATATAATATTGAATAAAGCCATTAATAATAATGATTAATAATAATCCTCAAAAAAGTACATGTATTTATAAACAGTTTTCTACGCAAGATACTCCACATCCACTGGACAGATACGATCAGCAAAAACCTAATGTGGTAGAGAACAAACTAACTTCTAGGTGAAGAGAGAATTAAGAAAAGACGATGGAGGTGGGTATGACATACAATGAGGAATTCATCAAACCGCATCACGAGGCTAGCCCTAACTTGGAATCCTGAAGACAAAAGAAGAAGATGGAATTTAATGTAGACATCAAAAGAATGAATAGCAGTTGGAAACAAATGGGAAGGAGAGCCCAGAACAGAGTTAGTCGGCGACCTATGTACCACTAGGGTTAACAGGCGTATGTTAGTGCGTGATTAGTGAGACAAAATGGTTTTTAAATAAGGACCGGATACAGAGAATTAAAATTTGATACGTACCATTATCCGTTCCATGATCTGGGTATTGTTCAAAAGCATTTTCATACGCCTTTACCGAGTTGTGTGGATCAAGTAGTTTGAAAAATTGCTATGAAAAACATTACATTTTTGAAGAAACCAAGTGAAAATGCAGCATTTGCTTACGAATAGAATATATTCCTACAATATTTCTGAGTTGCAACCCGGTCCAAAAACAAAATAAGGGTACTGAGGATACCTTACTTAACTGCATTATCTTCAGGTAAAGTTGTCATGGCGATATTGACAATATAAATCCCCACTAAGATCATTATTTACCAGACATGTAACCGAGTTACACAAATTGTATTAAGCCTTCAGTACAAAACGTAATCCTCTGTAATATTATATCGTCCATTTTAGCGGGAATATTTTATGTAAGTTTTGAGGGTTACACTATTACGATAGTCGACTTTGTCAATTCACACAATTTCTTTGGATATGAACCAAATGTTACTAACTGTAAATATTCTATGAGGCACCTTATCAATATACCATATTTACAATAATATATCCTAAATGTAGCAGTGCGATATTAGTAAAGTACTGTCCATCAAAAAGGGGTGTGGGTAAATTAATACATGATCATGATTCAAACAGTAAGTCAGCAACAATGTACAACTTCGCACGTACGTACATCAATTCAAGTTGCCATACCGCATCAGCACAGAGATACAACTGTCGATTCAAACCCCATAGTGGTAGAGGTAGTAAGAGCATAAGCAGTAATCGGAAAGATTAGGGTTTGAAGATGTTATTCAATGAGTATAATACAGTGAAATAAATTTGGAAAGAGAAAAAAGGACATGAAGAATTCAGAAGATTTGGATTTGGGAGACCACAAAGAGTGGATAAACATGCACCATTGCAAACGATTTTGATCCATTTCATTTAAGGTCTCTAACCATCGGTTGCTATCGTCTCGCAGATCCCAACCAGGTAGTCTACACCTAACAACATGACTCAGTCCACTTGTCAGTGACTTCATGAACTTGTGCCATGTTTTGGTCTGGCCGCCCCTAGCTTTCTTCCAACCTACTCCTACATCAGAAAACATCGCACGTCGGGGCAGTCGGTTGTTGGGCATACGTAACACATGTCCCAGCCATCTCAACTGATGAAGTTTCACTAATTCATCAATTGATTTGCCATCCTTACCTAGTACCCGTTTCCTAACAGCTGTGTTACTTACTCGATGGTCCCATGACATACGAGCAATGTTTCGAAGACACCTATAATCGAATACTAGTAACGTACGAGTATCCTCTACTCTTACCGGCCATGTTTCACAGCCATAAAGTAGGACGGAACGGACTGCTGCTTAGTAAACTTGTCCTTTGGTTGTTAGACGGATATCTCGCCTACTCCAAAAATGACGCAACTTGGCGAAATCTGGTCAAGCCTTCTGTATCCGTGCTGAGATTTCTTCACACACCAGACCACAGGGGCTGATGAGACTCTCAAGATAAGTGAAGTGGTAGACACACTCAACTACTTCACTCCCTATAATTGATTCGGATGTCGATGCAACCCAATCCTGGGGCAACATTTTGAGGGCGAGAATCGCATCCCGAACATTCATACATTGTTGCTTATGGTGGTCAGAAAACTGCATTTCGTCAGCGTCTTCTACCATATTATCGGCATATTTTAAGTCAACAAGTGAATCTTCCTGTAAAAGTTCAACCCCTGGAAATTTAGATGAGAAAAGTGTTATCTCTAAAAGCACGTCAACGACAAAGTTAACAGGTTAGGATAAAGTTCAATAAAACTTACATCGGCTAGCTCTCGAGCAACTTCAAATTGTTTCTCACCCGTCGACTCCGGAGTAACTGAAAGAGCGGCCAAACGTAACTGTAATGCCTCTCTGCTTCGACCAGCTACATGACATAAGTCTATAAGACGTTGGCGTAATGATGTATCAGCTCGATTTCTTCGAAGGGCTAAAGTGGTAAAATAATAAGAAAACCCAAAGATGTACTTCCTCTCCGCAATAAAAAATATTTTAAAAGTCCTATTGATGAATACAAGTAAGCTACTTTCGAGCTGATCACGCAAAAATGCATACCCTGTCGTGCATAGTGTATAGCAAGAGGGAAATCCTCAGCTTCTTCAGCCCAGTCCACTAGAGTAAGCCATGTATTTTTATCGGATGGGTTTCTCTGAGCAGCTTGATATAAAAACTGAAAAAGAATCACAACCAAAGAATCGAATTAGTTGGCAGAACAAAAACGTTGCAATCGGTGTGCTCACTATGAGGAAATTAGTCCTAAACATAATATAGCTGTAAATTTTAGAATAATTTTGTAAATCACAGGCCAGGAAAACAACCAACTTCTCATCCCTATTACTCTTATTTTAAATAAATGTTGAAGATCTCTCAATAAATTCGTAATCAACAAAGTGCTAATTATTTTTCAACTATAAAATGAACTGTTTGATTCGGTTAAACTCACTTCTTTGGCTTTTTCTTGATTCCCACGACGAAAACTAATTTCGGCCAAAACAATATATGGTTGGGAAGCTTGGGGAGCTAAATACAAGAAAGAATAACACTGTATGCCTTCTAAGTATTTAGTGCCAATAGATGAATGAGATAAAAGTAATAGCATCAGAAAACTTTTACGCAATACATGTCATATTAACTATGAACTGAGCGCATGTAATTTCTTAGTATAAAACATTTTACTCAAGAATACGCTTGAAATAGCTAATAAAAACTATCTGTGAATTCAAGATTTATAACTTAATTAGTAGATGTATCTATCAAATATTGCAAATAAGGACTGTTAAGCTCTTTTTCTCACTAGTTCTATGAATGTGTACTGTATTAAGAAAGCAATTCTACTTTTTCGAGCCAAAACTGTTTATACAAAAACCTAACGGTGACAAAGATGAACGTCTCCCCCAAATTCTGTTAAAAGGTACGATTGGCTAAAAAAGCGATGAGTTCGAACAAAATATTACTTTGACGGACAAAGTTTCGTCTTTCTGATGTTCAGAATTTTCATGCTTATTAGTATTTTGGAAATTTTGATAACCTGGTCATATTTTATCCATACAGGAAAGCTGGTTTTTCCGCTTAGTTAAAGTGTTTTGAGATATTAACATACTCGACAGTAACAGTAGAAATCCCACATCAAGAAATGTACTGAATCCAAAGCTTATAAATGATCATTTTGGCAGTAACATTCACGTATATTATTAGATTCTTTCATACATACCAACCTCACTATCGGATATTTCAACCACTAGATAGTACCAGTTAACTACAATCTACTTCTTAAAACTCACAAAATACAAGACTTGTTAAGTAAAAATAGTAAACTGTATTCTTTTTTACTTAACGGATACTGTATAAACATCAACTAATAAGTTTACCTGTGTCAATGATCTGATAGCAAATACGTTCAGCGTGTTCAAATTCATCATTGTTCAAATGTCTTTCAGCTTCTCCAAGATATTGTGCTAACTCAATTGGTAATCGAGCACGTTTAGACTATTAAGTTTCATAGAGGTTAAATGTTAATTTTTCAGAACAGATAAAAGTTACAATAAGTGGTCCTCTCAATTTCAGTTTTTTCTTTCCAACTGTATCAGGATTTTGTCGTCTTTTAGATCTCCTAGGTCCTAAAAGAAATATTTTTAGAGTAATCATTTTTTCTGAAAAAATCACGTAAGTAAAAATGTCTAGAATGGCAATAATTTGAATCCAAGTATATCAATAAAAGCAAATTATTCGATGAATATGATTTACTAAACATCGGCTTCCTCAATATTGAAATGATGACAAGACCTGAAGGAATTCTAAGGATACGTTTACATAGGACATTCACTTGATGTCCAACTAACAAACTCTTGCATGTGAATGCCTATTAGTAGAAAGAGGAACTGGGTTATAACACTGCCCCATACACATATACATAAATGAGATGGATTTATTAACCCAACTTCAAATATGAGGGACTAAATCTAAGAAAAATCCTTATCGGGTATAGATATCCACTAATATCTATTGACCCGAATATAAAGCTCAAACTTCCAAAATTAACAGCCACTGCACCATAAATGGACATTGATTTCAATGGTGACAAAGCTCTCTGCACCTCAAAGAGATATTTTAACTCTCTCAAAAAAATGTTTTTGCATCAACTTTGAGGTTGGTGATCACCGGTAGGCCTATATTCAATGATAATCTAAAGAAGAAGCTTTCGCATCCGACCACTTACATGTATATTTATAAATTCACTTGCTTCTGTGTTGCTACACATATCGGGTGTTCAATGGACAATCTACCAAATCAGATTCAAAAGGATTATCCCGATGGATAAAAAGAGGTAGTATTGGACTAACGAAGACCTCAACCATTTAACATCTTGTGAACACTCGTCATTCAACAAAAGCAGACACACTGCTCAAATTCATATACACAGTGAGAAAAAAACAGACTGAAAGCTGTGAGCTTCCCTTTCCTATGGTCTGTTGAAGCTTTTCTCAAATCTTAGGAGGAGCCATAACTATGTAACCAGAAGAAACTTACTCAACCTCTTTTAACGTCACAGTCTTTTATTTATTTAATCACATAAACATAGGTACAAGGAGGCACCAAAGGGATATGCACCACATAAATCATTCGACTTGTGTGAGGGCTGGGATACTGCCCTGGTGCCCAAACTGAAGCAGGTAACAGTCTTAACCTTTAAATTCCCAGTTATCGCCCTTTCGTTTAACACAATATTGAGTCTTGTGCATAGAATACAATAAGCGTATATTTGTGGTAAAATTTAAATAAATCGTAAGTAAACTTACGTGTAGAATATTCAGAATCGTCGTTTTTGCTAGAACAGTCTGAATCACTACTGTGGCAAGAATCATTATCCACAGTAGTAGAGTGGTGCATTTCACGCATCAAATCATCAAAACTGATAATCCCATTCAAATATCGTGAATAAAGAGTTTCATCAGTTACGAGACCATTAAGAAACGAAGAGATATATGTTGAGTCATCTGCTTCCGAAACGTAACCACAACTAGAATCAAATTCCTATCGAAGGAAAATTTAGCCGAACTCTAGACAAAACATACATTAAGATCGATAACTTCGAAGTCTTGAGCCAATTCCAATTCACCACCGACACCCCAATCATCACTATGTTCCGCGTCCATTTAGGATAAAACAATTTACTATACAAAAGGAAAAAGCAAAAGTGATATTGATGTGTATAATTTGAATTAGGCACAGCAAATGATGTTATGACATCATTCTCATTGTAAATATTAGACAGATTGTGGGTAAAGAACGTTGTCTTTATTCTACCAACGTTGTGGATATGAACCTGCAGAACGGTGCCCAACCAGATGATAACTTTAATAGTTGAATTCACGAGTCGATCTAAGCTAGATCACTATTGAAAACCTGGAAGCACTAGACAGCCGTTTTGTTCTAGTATGGGACTGTTCAGCAGTGTTCATCCGCGATCCTGTATGTGGAACCTCTGACCTTCGGTGTCACGCGCCGGCATCTGATGGTGTTAATGTCTAGCCTCGATCCATGGTCTTGCGCAACAATACATCGTAGTTGCGCAGCGTTGAGGAGTCCCATGCTAGAACGGAACGGTCGTCTAATGCTTCCATCTTCAATGGTAGTCCAGCTAAGATCAAGTCACGAAGTCAACAAGTGGAATTACTATAGCCTTCACAATTCATTCAGACGATAATTGGTTGACATTAAATGCAAGGTCATCCACTACTATGGTGAGTTAAAAATACAGACACTCATTTGCTGTAGTTGATATAGAGACTGCGAATGGTGTCTTAGTTTAGTTCCTTAGTTTACCTGGTCACCATGTCAGTAATTTGACGGGCGGAAACACCTTGCCACTAAACGCATAAAAGCTTGAAAGTTAGGTACAATAATTCCATTTATGTGTTGTGGAGATGCATTGAAAGGGAAAGAAGGTTTTTTTTATAATTCCGTTGAGATGGATGTGGTTAAGATGAAGGCTGGAAACAGTCGGGCTCAATATCATATATTCAGGTCACTGAACAATATCGTTTCATCCTTTTCGAAATAGGCTTGTCTTAACGAAAAATAGTTAGGCACAATTGAATGTGTCACCCTACACGTCCTAGTCGAGTAAGTAACGTTTCAGATTTGAGTTAATCCTTAAGATTTAATAAACTTAAAGCCGTTCTACAGAACGTGTCAGCTATATGAGACTTGAGTGAGAACATTATGCAGCTGATGTCTTATTGTGATGGACGCGAACATAGTCGAAAACTTGATACTGGACAAGCAATTTGGTATTTCCCTTTGTCATCTGAAGAGGAACTGTGGAAGTTGGCTGCATGTCTTCAGCAGGATATAGCTATAATTTGCATGCCAGATGGATGATAATCCTGAAACGTCAATGTGCTACATTTTGTCATACGTCATGACACCTGAAGTTGACAGCCATTTCATCACCTTACTTGCCACTTCATCAAAAAAGCGTCTCAGAAGCATACGGAGAAAATTTCTTTTTCTAGTTATTGCTTACGACAACGTCGCCGTCCTTAATGTCATCCGTCAACGAAAAAGAACTTACAAAACTATGTGGTATCATGACGCAACAGTGCTTCCACAGAGAGATCATTTTAATTGGGAACAGTAACGCAGAAGTTTAAAAAACGCGCAGCTGTCCTTGTGCTCAACTTAATTTTCGACTGAGCTTCTTCTTATCATTCACTTACTTTCGTGTAGACAACTGAACTTACAATTTAATGCGTAACAATCGTAGCTCGAGCATTTGTCCGTTACTAATCTAATTGTAAACTATAATGTTACCTCTAGACGATAAATGCTCTTAATCCTACATCGTTTTCGAATGTGATCGACTGCATTCACGGGACATAAGAGTAAATTGTGGTTAGTCGGAAGAAAGACGGTTAAAAAAAATCTAGTTAATTTAGCGATATTTTCAATATAGAGCAAATAATGGTGAACTTTCACGTTACTTCCCCATGACAGCGAGGACGACTTTGGTGCGTTTTCCTATTCTTTACACTAATGTTCTGACGGAATGTCTTCTTCAGTGATTGACTCGGTATATTTAAGTATCTTCCTAATCATACATAAATTCGTCGACCACATTATTTGCCTTTCAATAAGAATTTTCTAACAAAGATTGCTTATGGATAAACTTTAGTGCCTCAGAAAACGCTGAACAAAAACTACGATTCGAATTTTTTGGAGGGACTTAGCTCAGAATCTTTGCTTTCCGGATGTATGCTTATCTTGAGCCTAACATTCTGTACGACGACCCCCACCATTTCCTAGAAGTTATCCGTTGTTAACCTCCGCCACTCTGGTGTAGCCTGTTCTATTGCAACTAGGGTGGTAAATGTCATTTTCCCTCTAACATATCGTGTTTTTCGCCACGTTGAACATGGTTTTACTATTATTACTACTTCCCATTGATGAGCTCGTCAACTAAGATAAAGTTGTAGTGACTCACATTCATCACGAGAACACGACTGGTTTGATAAAAACAATTATTATTATAACCAACTCTACCAGTGTTTATTTTAACGTGCTTTTGTTTGACTGTGCTAATGACAGCTATTTTGTGCTTCCATTCTTATTCTCACACTTCGATTGTAACTTCGCGCGAATTCGGTTACCTTCTGTAACCAAAGTTGCATCCTGGCACGATCTCGGTATCCTTTCGATGCCACGAGATCGCCAGCTAATAAATCTCGACTTGGTCCATTAATTGCCTTCTGATATTTGGCTTCTCGGGGATTTTATGGGTTTCTTTGGTTACGTTCAACCTTCGCCTTCTGATTTATCTGGCACGTGTTTCTTGGTAGCGGTGTTCATACTAAATCTCAACTCGACGCCACGCTATAAAGTCATGGTTTACCACTACACTCTGATTCATGTGTCACAATTTGGCACGGTCGCCACAACCGCACATCAGCATATAATTCCTGTCACTCTTACTATCATCACCGTTTCTTCTATTATTCTTACAACCTAGGCCTTTTCACAGTGCCGGGATTACCAATTAGTTGTTTTATCAATTCATTCTTGAAACCATTGTCTTCTATTAGCATTTGAGCAGTCACTTAATTATTTCAATATTGAAACTAACCAACCTCCTGTTTGGCATCATGATGGCTATTGGTATCCAGAAGCCCTAATACCCTGAGACAAACTAATTCACTCAATCCACATGACATGCAAATCCACAAATAACTCTCAGTGTGACTAAAATTGGTGCACTCAATTGACTAAACTTTTATTAAGTGGACATTATCAAATACTAGTAAAGGTACTGGAACAACAGGAAGTGAGTGCAAAGAAAGCAACCAGTTTATACAATACAAAGGCAGAGGTATTGAATATTGGATACCTTGACCACATTTTCGAACTGCGTATGAGTTTTTGCTGTGAGGCGAATTTTACTTCAAAATGACAAGCAGAATTAAATCCACCAGGGCATTAAGCACAAGCAGTATACCGGCCTATGCCTTGATACGTAAACTTCATTTTGAACTATCTCCAGATAAACCGTAAGTAAACATAAACTATTGGTTTGGATAATTGTGATTCAAAATCGTACTTTCATAGAGTTGTATATGTACTCTGAAAACCGATACCGAATATCTCAGGCCTATTCATATATCTAGAAACTATTTTGCTGTCTAAATGTTTTAAATCCTATAGTTTAATAGAGCTATATGATATATAATTTATGCTGTGATTTTAATCAGAACTAAATCAGTTTTTGTTCATTAGTTAAAAAGTCGTTTTCAAATGAGTAATTTTTATGGATGAGCTGCCAATAAATAGGTATTAGACACCGTCAACATGTAATCACCAATTAAACCTTCCACGACTCACGGGATATTAAATAACTAGATAAAAATGACATTTCTAAAAAAACATACTTTTTCATGAATCATACAACTAATTCAACTTCGTCTGAAGTTTACTTTGCAAGGCATTGATGATAAAATCGTAAAGGTTAGTGGGGATAAAATGTGTGACTCCCCAAACTCTACTTCTGCAGATGATGCATAATAAATAACACTGCCGCTGACAGTTTGTTTGACAGAAGTATTTGATTCACAATAGAACGATACATTGACAATGTGTTACGTAAATAAGAGGATTATCAGTATCAAAGCTTTGTGCCCTTGGTTGTTCTGCTTTGTTCTGTTATGGTTTCATGTATTTTAAGAAATTAGCATGTTATCTCACAAGAATATTTTGGCCATATTCTAGTTTTACTTATGTAGGGTTGAGACTCATATTCAATTCAAAAACTATAAGTTTCGACCACATTAGGTTTACTCCAGATGCTATGAAATGATGTAAAGAATGCATTTCATCTGCTTCATCAAAGACATAGCTCTTCATATCTGTAAATCAAAGGTGTTTTATAACCATTTGTGGTTAGTTTCAGTGAAAATTTGTTTCTCTTTATTCATGCACGATTTATATACATCTCTTCTGAATTGATAACAACGATATTCGACCTTCAGTTTTAAGGATGGCTTGTGGATTGACCGGTGTTGATTCTTTCAATTTGTTTTTCAGTGAAGATCCTGATTTTACTGGCTGGTGTTTGTTGATGGGTCCACTATTACTTACTCAAATAAGGTGTTTGATTTCCCAAGAAAAAGTGACTTGTAAACATTAAACTTTCCACCAACAAAAATACACAAAACTTCTATCAAACATATATATTTTTTAAAAAGTTAATTTTTGTCCCGTTTTCACTCACGAACTATTTAAATTCAAGTTGTCCGCATAATGAGTAAAAACAGTCTTTTATTTGTGCTCGTCTTCTCGTAGTAAAAACTAAAATTTAGTTTCTACCCGATGATAAGGCATATTAATTATGTGAACTTTAATATCAATCAATATCAGTGTACTTGTATTCTCTGTATCTGTTGTTTTAGAATAATTTCGTCTGAAATTCCAAAGATTTAAATTGCATATTTAATCTGATATACAATTTTTGCGTGATTTATAGTCTTTGATACCTAAAACAGATCAAAAGTACTTATGACTGCTGAATTGGTTTCATATAACTACCTAAAAACGCAAAACTGCAGCGTCAATTACAGAAATGGTTAATTCGGCACATCGGAAATTCTTACTTTATGACTGTGCTCTAAAGACAGAGATATCGCTAACCTGAACTGACAAAAGGCAACAGAACCTGGAGAGTTAATTTTCCAGGTCATTATGAGTTGTGTTCCTGGATCAGCACCATGAGTAGACGAAATATTAGGTACATTCTGAAACCGGAATATAATTCCATCCCAATTGCCACAGAAAACTATTGCTACTGTTTATAAGAAGAGACAGAGGTCGTTCTGCAACAAATACAAAATCAATTCCATAAGTTGTAGTAATGAAATTCGGTTTGGCTAGTAGTGCTGTATATATAGATATGAAATCATTTACAAGAAATATTCTAAGTTAGAATAAACACTACAGGTAATGAGCTTAAAATCTGTATATATAGTCCATAGTTGCACAACACTAAAGTTGTGGGGAATGAGAAACCGGAGGGTTTTTAGGCAAACTTTTAATAAGATTACTAATTCCCTATCCCTCGAAATATTTTGAAACTCACATATACATACAGACTCTAGATAAAAAAATAAATTCTTAAACTTAATGATAACGCAAAATTGTTGATCAAGGTCCCCTATACCAGTGCTTATTGCATCAAAGCTTGCAAAAGAACAGCATCACCTTAATAAAAGTTTGTTACTCAACCACCACCTGTCATGCAAGAGCTCATTACAAGCTATTGTGTTAAAAGACGTCAAATAGTGTTTGTCGGGATTTTCATTATCATCATCGTCCTTCACATTTACCACAAATGTTTTTCTAAGAATGGGAATTTTGGTATGAATTTGTTTAAATCCACCCTTCACTTGGAGATCCACTTATCAAATCCAATGGTTCTGTTATTTAAAGGCACTGAAAATATAACATGTTTTTGGGTTGTTGGGAAAATGATCCTTTTTCCGTGATGAGATGACAGAAACCTCAAGGAGCTATACTACGCCTCATCCTTGTTAATATTTACATTCATCACAGATTAATCTTCCACACCAAATATTATAGTATCCGGAAAATCGAACAACAAGTATATATAGTTCTCCGAAATAAATGTTTCTGCTTTGTCACTCAGTGTATGACAGCTTATCTTGATTAAATCGATTCCCGGAAAAATCGAAATCTCAACAATATTCGGCGATTGTGACTCGGTTATTGATACCCTTTGAAACAGTTTTGGAGGTTCCCTTTGATAAACTTATTACGGGTTCCAGCCATAATAGATATCTTTATTGTATTTGTACCTTGCCAAAGAATAAGCAAATCTTAGTTTACATTGTATGTCATATCTTAATGTTGTTATATTTAGTCTGATTGAAACATCAAAGAACAGTGCCACTTATTAGTGAAAATTTCAGAGATAAAACAGAATTAACTTCATGGTAATTTGCAAAATATGTTCGTATCATATCTTCCACTATATAATTTATTAAAGAAATAAAATGACACAAGTTCAGATTATAGTCAGTTAAATAGGAGAGGCAGATACTAGGTTGTTACATGTGGACAGCATTAAAGTTACTTCTCGTCCGTTTTCGTAACTTACCTGCCATTTTCAAAAAAATTCTTCTATGTTAGTACACGAATATTTGTTTAATGTTAAAATTCAGTTTTGCGTTACTGAGTAGTCATCATGGAGGGATTTTATGAACAGACCTGAACATCTTAAAAATATATATTTGTCTTTTCAATGCTTTTACGGTTTATATCCAAATTTAAATCGAATCAATTATTTCATATGTCAGTTTTAGCTGTATGCAATAGCTTGTACCTAAATATATTTTCAACAATAGATTTTCTTATTAATCACATTAGGCAGATAAAGTACGAATTGGAAAGGTGATGCAAATTTCGGTCAATATATAACAGTCATGGACCATTCATCTTTATGTCAAGTTCTTGTATTTGATTACATTATTGTAATTCGTGCCAAATTAGGGACTAGTTTAAGACATCGTTGATAAGCGCTTTTACAAAGCCTTCACGAATTCTTTAACTGAATAAACAAGGGGAAAGTCATCAACAACCAGTGAGTATACAACATATCGAAGTACTTCTTGAAAACATGAGCTAACTGGTTTCCAGTTTTATAAGTATCGGTAAATGGACCTGTATTTTCTGATACAGATTAGAATAAAAGTTTTAAGACTAATGCACAAAATTTTGGATTCAGTTTTGACTTACTAAATAAGTGCAAATTAGTAAATAAATAAGAATTAGCATAACTATAAACTGTCATCAAAATAACTAGCTACCTTAATCTTAGGTCAATTTAAGTTAAGCAGAGGTAATGGCTGACTGACTAAGTACTGAAAGTCGTTAACAATTGCTTTTCTACTGGCGTATTTAGGGGCCTGGAAAGGAAACGTTAGAGACAAAATGACTTGAAAAATTCCGTACATTTTGGTTTACTGACATATGCTGTCTAAACTTTTAACAGTGTATATTTATAAAGAAGCTTATTGCACTTATGAATGCCAAGCTTTTGATTGGTCGATATAGATAGAAATTACTTCTAAAACGAATTACTAATACAAACTGTCTATAACCTGACGGTATTGGAATACTGTTGTTTCATCTATGTTTAAAAGAAATATGTAGGACTACTAAGAAGCCTGACCGTTTTTGCTACCTTGACGTGGTAGTCGGGCTTGCCTATGAACCGACCGAGCTATGCTGGCTGGAACAATCGTTTCTCAAGGTCCTACCATGCCAGCCAGGTCGGTTGAAGAGTGGTAAGACTAAAACCAACAAACCTGGTGTCCGAAGGCGAAGTCGTACCGCTGATAGTACAGAGGTGTGACAGCAGTAAGGTGATTCCTTCAGACGACCAGCATAACAGCAATGTTGCCTTCCCACAAAAGAAGGGTTGGGTTAAAAAGGTCAACCCTAAAAATACACACCTCGCCTTATCCCACAGATGTCCGTCTCCGGTGGTAAGGTTCCAATAAGTATGGAACTAACACAAAAATTCCCCACTAAAAGGTCGTATGTGATCGGTCTCAAGCAGTTGTCCCTTGAGCACTGCGGTCACGCCCTCAGGTTACTAAGACCACCTTCAATCATATTTTCTCTCCAGGTACCTCTACAAGAACCCTTCCACGGTGTGGGCAACCGGGAATTGATAACCGTCCTCATACCTCTAACAGCACTCAAGATCACTGTATCCATAATCAATCTTCCTCTTCAATTCTTATTATTCCTCCTATGTCGAATTTCAACTTTATACTTCCTTTTTTGACTTCCTCCTCAAGTATCACCATGGCCAACGATTCTAGTGCACAAAATATTGTCCCAGGCCCACTGAAACCTCGCTCCAAACTAGACGTTAGAGCTTTCAACGTATGTACCCTATGTCAAATCAGCCAGCAGGCCTCCTTGACTAAGACCCTAGAATCTCGTACCATTGATGTATGCTGTATCTCGCCAA